CGGGGTAGAAGATTTAAAATCGCCCTTCCTCTCTTTTCATGTATCAGCTTTTGGTTCTGAAGGAGTCGCAGCTGCCGGGACGTGTACGATCGTAAGTGGGAGTATAGTGCGGTGCGTATACGAATGAAAGTCCATGCATGTAGCCTCCGCAGCGCCCTTATACTGGCTTGTCACCATCACTGCAGCGCTTCTTTCTTTACATCCCCACCTTTGTGAGAAGCCCCACCCACTCTTGCACGCGTTCCGGGACAGGAACAGACAGGGAGTGGAGTGCCACGCCACTCATACACCCTTCACACAAACGCGAAGTGTAGACGTCGATGAAACCCAGAACTTCTCGCAACCCTTGCAATCACGGCGGTGTCCATCAAAAAGAAAAGAGATTCACAGTGTGACCCACTCATCCCCACACCCTCTCTCTCTCGTTTACCATCGTGTTGCAGATCGTACCTTTTCGTCGCGCCAAAATTTCAGTTCCAAAGGATAAGAGAAGCCAACAAAAAAAAAACGCGGGATTGTTAGTGGAAAGAAACAAAAAAAGAAAAAAAAAAGATGTCTGTTTCTTTTTCCCCGTGCGCTGATGCATGACCTCCTTTACAAGCCCCGCTCTCCATCCGGCCTAATGTTACTTACCCAGCCTCGCATTCCCCCTCTTAGTTGTCCCGCTTTTACAACCATCTAATATCCCCGCTTTTCATCCCCCATTTTTTTTTTATTGTCTCCTCTTCCTTTTTTATTACTTCTGTTTGTTTTCAGGAAATGGAAATCGTTTTTTGTTTGTTTTCGTTTTGAGAGGAGGAGATAGAGGAGGGAAGGGGGGTATCTTCTCAGAACTACTCTTTCATCTCGATTGCTCTTATACACGTATATAATGCAAAAATATGTATATATGTGGCCGAGTACACACATACGACTATTTATATTATTAGTTTTTTTTTTTTTTAGTAACAGTTTCATTCTTCCCTTTTCGTTAGTTACCTCCTCTATGCAAGTCACTTGATGCTTCTTTTTTTTTCCATTTTATCCCTCCTTCTCGCCCCCCCCCCCACCCACCCCACTTCCTCCTCCTCGTGTAGAAGGCTCGGCAGCAATAAGGACATGATGTCATTCCTGCATTTACCTCTCCTTTTTTAAAAATCGCTTTCCCCCCTCTTCCCCCTGTTCTTGTTTTTTACTCTTTTTCAGGCGCCGTCCCCCCATCGTTACGCGCGCCCCGCGTCATTAGTGACTTCCCGTCACCCGTCAGGCATTCTTGCGGGCACAGATGCAGGCAGACGGACACCCCCACCTCCTCAGCACAGAAACCGACAAAACAAACAAGAAAAAAATACACAGGCACACACATACAGCAAAAAAAGAAAAAAAACGGAAAGAGGGCTTCTAGACGCTCATGTGACGGTTCAACACATCAAGAGCCTCCTGCACCTTCGCATCCAAAAGACCGGGTGTATCTAGCAGATTAAGAATCTCGCCGTTATCCATTTCCAAAAGCATACCAGTCACCTTTGCAGCCGCAGCGGGGTTGATAGCGACAATGTGGTTGTACAAGCGTTCGCCCAGGACATTCTTCTGCTGTTCGGGAGTCAGATTAGCAAGAACTGTCGACAGGTTCTGTCCCTGTGAGGCCAGTGGTTGCGGTTGCGGAGGTGGTGCCATCATTGACTGCATTGGGGCACGTTGTGACATGGGGCGTGCCCGCACTTGATTCATCGGTGTAGGACCCATCGGTCGCAGTTGACCACCCATGCCCATGGGTGCAGGCATCATAGACATGCGAGGGTTTACAAAGGGAACGCCGTTAAACATTGCTTGCGGTCCCATGAAGCCAAGTTGAGGTCCCATCATCCCACCCATAAGGCTGCCCATAGGCGGCTGACGCATACGTGGCTGCTTGTTACGCATGTCTTCCAGTGTCTGTCGACGGGCATCCTTGCGAAGGGCATAGGTCACAAAGAGTGGGCGAGGACCAAGGACCGTGCTTCCATGAAGCTCCTGAATGGCGCGACTCGCAGCACTCTGCTCCTTGAACGAAACGAAGCCAAAACAACGGGATAGCCTAGTGGCCCGGTCCATCATGACACGGACAGAAACAGTTTCACCGCAGCGCTCAAAGAGCTCCTTCAGGCGTTCGCTGGTGACAGTGTCATCAAAGTTCTTGACATAAAGGTTCGGGTACTTGCTGTGTTGTTGTTGACGCTCACGGCGCTGGCGTTCGCGTTCGCGCTGACGCTCCTCACGGGAGCGGAAACGGCAGACACTCAGCTTCATCCCCTCCTTCGCCAAAGGACTCTCCTTCTCGTCAAGCTCCTCAACGGCCTTGGCGGCGGCTTCGTGGGTGGCGTACGCGACGTAGGCAAATCCAACAGTTTGATTTGCCCCAAGTTCACGGACCTTGGCGGAAGTCACTTCACCAAAAGCTGAAAATACTTCCTTCAGTTGTTCATCATTGACGGAGGGGTCAAGGTTCTTCACGTAGAGGTTAGTAAATTGCTTCAATTGTTCCTCACGATGGTGTGGTTGGTATCGCTCCACTGTAATGGCACAGTCATCGATAACCATTCCGTTCACCTCCTGTACCGCCTCCACCGCGGATTCCTCCTTTTCGTAGGAAATACGGGCATATCCACGGGATTCACCGTTCTCGTTCGTGGCAAGGCCAATGGCGGTAAGACGCCCATACTTGGAAAACATTTCCTTAAGTGCATAGGTATCCACGGATGGTGGAAGTTTCTTCACTACAATGTTCGTCACGCCGCTGCGTCGCTTAGACGGATCACGTTGAATCTTGGCAATGCGAATGTGCTTCGATCCTAGCTTAACGCCAGCTTGATCCAGTGCCTTTTCGGCGTCTGCAGGGTTCTGAAAGTTCACGTAACCGTAGCCAAGTGACTTTTGCGTGACGGAGTCCACACATACACGCACAGAGGCCACTGGGCCAATGCGCACAAAGTGGTCGTAAAGCTTCTGCTCGTTGAGATTGGGATCCAGGCCGCCGACCCAGATGGAGGGACTCGCAGCAGGAAAGTTCGACATTTTACTGACGCCCTTTTTTTTTCTGGTTTTTGTTCTTGTTTGTACTTTTTCTTGCGCTTAAAAGTAAACCAAAGTGACACCTTTTTTTTCTCTTTTTATTGGTCTTGTCGGTGTGTTGTTTCCCTGGGGTGTATCTACACTATCTACTTTTCTTTTTTTGTGGTATTCCTCTTATCTCCTTAAATATGCAGATTCTCCTTGTTTTAATTGGTTCTGTGGTATCACCCGGTTTTTCTTCTATACTCGGTGAATCTGTTATCAACTCGGCGTCGTTCCTTTCTCTTATTTTTCTTTCTTTTTTGTCCTTTGAGGACTTTTTTTATTTTTTATTTTTTTCTTTTTTTTTTTTACGTGTGTTGTTACGTGACCGCCGATTTTTGTGTTATTCTCGTTTTTTTTTTTTTTTGGGTATGTTGGTTAAAACAGGTTGGACTAAAAAAAGCTGGGGAACAACAGAGATGAGTGGAGAAGGAGGAGACGGCAAGGCGTGTGTACAGGCGTTGTTGTCAACGCGATCAGAGAGAATATAACGAGAGAGAAAAACAAAAAGCAACAACGGCGGGTAAAGGTAAGTAAAGAAGGGAGATGTGCGAGGGGCAGCTGTGAAGAAGCGGTGATGCTCCTACGGCGCATTGACTACACGCACACACAAAACTAACCACAATAATAGACGAGCATACTTCACGACAAGCGAAGCAAACAATATCTTATGACCCGGCACGTCCGCGAGGAGGATTCACATGGTGGTGGGGGCTTTGCTCCTTCTCCCCACATTAGGAAAGAGCCGAACAAGGAGATCGTAGTTTGGCTCAGCGGACGCATCCTCCCACACCGGAGGAAGCCCACCAAACACCCACCCACACACACCAGTAAACCAATTGGTGCACAAGGCAATCTACAAAAACTGAGGCCTCGCCGTGAACCCACAACGTGGCAGCCGTTGAAGACCCCGCAACCGCCGCTCCCCCTCGCATGACAAGCCGCTTCCGCCACGCCAGATTGCCGCATCAAGGCCCGCTGCCCCTCCTTTAATGGGGTCACCCCGCAACGCGGCATATTGCCCGTACAGACGCCAATGCGCTAAGCCAAACACTCGGCACATGTCGACAAAGCAGGAGGAGCCGTCCGTGCTTCCGCTTGTGTGAGAGAAGAGCTGCAGGAGCGCTGCAACGGCGCCCCCGCCACTTCGGCACCCCCCACAGCTGGAAGAAGCAAAGCATTCCCCCACCGCGCGAAGCCACGCCCGTGACAAGCAAGACGTTGCATGTCCATGACACGCACATGGTGTGCGTTCGGGCGTCCACACACGCAAATAAAAGAAGCAAAATAAGACGCCTCAAACTGCGGGTAGTGCGGCGTGTACAAAACACACACCTTCCCTGATGCCCGCAAAAGTGTTCCACAGTTTCCAACCCGCACTGTCCAATCCGGACCAAACCCGGATCAGTAACCAAAGCCGTAGCCTCATGTTGGGTCGCGCCATTGGTCACCAACGAGGTCAAGACCACTCGAGGAGGACCAGTTTGGCAGACAGGCTCCAGAAAGCGCAAGCCAGGACCGTCGTCTGCTGTTGGGACGTGGAATAAACGCCTGTCATCCCCCTACAAGAAAAATGACAAAACTTTCTTTTCCACTTTTCATCATGGTGTCCTTAGAAAAAGACAAAATAATAACAAAACAGAAGGACAAATGCACGAGGTGTCCCCACATAGTTATTTAGTAGCATCTGATCGTGCATGTCGTACTCCACAAGAATCCAATAGTATAGTGATCACGATAAGGATGCGTCTGATCGACATTAGATAGCATCCGGTAAAGTTTGTAACCAACATTTTGTGTTACTCCATTTATTACTTTTTCGTTGTTGCTTGAACTCCGTTTTGTCGCCTATCCTGCAGCTTCTCCATTTTTCCCTCATTCACCCCGCTCTCTTCTCATCCCAGGGGTCGCTAGCCCTGATGGGGACATCACCCCTCCATGCATCGCTATACACACACACGTACACAACGTAAAAAAAAAAAAGTGAAAGAGGGCCACACAGTACAAAAAAAAAAAGGGGGACACGAAACAAATGAGTACCCAACTTCCGTTGCAGCCCCCTCTTTTTCCTTCCCTCCAGCAGTCTGCGCTCATCGATTCGTCGCGTCTCCTTCCCTTTCTATTCAAGCCGTCGTCCCTTTCGCCTCAATCGGGTCCTGAAGTAGCTTTGATTTTGCTAACATTTTGCTGCTTTCCTTTCCCCGCTATATGACACTTTAGAGTGTATTGCACCTCTTGGCGGTCTATTCTCATGTTTTTTTTCTTTTTTGCTTTTGTTTTGGTTGTTTGTTTTTGTCGTGTGCGTCCACGTTTTCCCTCATTTGGCCGAGCCGTCCAGCTCGGCCACCACGCGAGATAAGACCCACACGTAAGGGTTAGCCATCGTACACACACTATTATACAAAGCCAACAAAAATAAAAATAAAAACAGTAATAATGATAATAATAATAACCAAAAATCAAAATAAACTCATTCGGCAACAGAAATCGGACTTTCATCTGCAGCTTCGTACACGAGCTTCTTCGGTGAGCACAGTTTCGATCGTTCGTCGACGGCGAGCTCAATGTATGGAGCTGTCTCAGTCCTGCAGTTCATACGGTGCGAGGAAATGCTTTTAGTTGACATCGCCCCAGAGGCCCCTCGACTGTTAGGTTGCCGCTCCCAACTCGGAGGACAAATAGGCGGTGTGTCAAGGGATGACTGTTTTTGTGGCGACACCGGTTGCCGCTTGATGCTCTTGACTCGCCGAACTACACGATCAGCATGAGCGGTGGTGGCGGTCCCGTTTTCCGGCACACCTTTTGTCGCAGTGACGGAGATGACAGGGCGACGATGTCCCACCGCCTGCTCTTTTGGCCTTGTGGCGAGGCCATCCCCACACCGTTTGCCACCTCGCGCTCCAGGCGTGGCTTCCATAGCTGTTGACACCGCACGCGACTGGCCGTTGAATATCTTTCTACATGCTGCAGACAATTTTACGTTGACCGGCGCAGAGGAAAACCGCTGCATTTCGTCACTTTGCCCCGTGTATTGGCGCAACATAGGAGATTTAAGGTTGCGCGTGGGCGTCGATGGACAACTTCGTATGATGCATCCCCGCGGGGGGCCAACTGAGTGCTCTGTCGCATGCGACGAGGCCCGAGAATACGACCGTTTCGTCGGGTGAAATGATATACCCCGACTTTCACACACCAGCTCATGTATCTTAGTGTATCGTGTTTCGTCCTCTCGCATACGACTCAGGAACCCCTCCACCTGTTTTGGGTTAATGGGAGGAGAGATCAGAGGTTTGCGTGTAAGGCTTCGGAAAGCGTTATCATTTGTTGAGTTGTTTTTCACCAGCGCAGACCTTGGGGGAAAGGGCGCTAGCTTATTCCGTGCCGCACCACCATTGGTGCCTGGCGTAACACTTTGCGTTCTTCCGGTACTTCCAACGCTGCTAGTTCGCTTGCGGAGCATTGACTTTTCCGCGCTGGCAGGCCTCACCAACGATACACTTAACCCTCCCCGCACAGCGTGTGCAACATGCCTTTTTGGAGTCGTGCCTGCCATCGAGTTAGAAGTACGCATTTGCAGGTGGCCGCTCTCCTCGTCTTGCATCGTTTCCCCACGAATCTGTCAAGGCGGTTGCGGCAATGGGAAAACGGATGGTCGCTAGTCCGTGGGACAATTTCCCCTATTCCACCACCCTTCCTCGTCTTTTCCTTTCCGCTGTTGGGCCAATGAGTTTTGAGTTTCTCCTCCACTACCCCTTGTTTGTACGTCACCTTGGCAGGGATTAGTTTTGCCCGCTGGAAGTGCAATATTTGCGTACAACGTTCTTGCTGCTGGGGCGCAACGAACGGAAAAAGCACAGGAAGTAAATAAAAAGAAAAACCCCACGCAGCGCGAGGGCAATACAAACAAACAGCAACAATCAGCTGAAAAAAAAAGACCACAACTACAAAAGCAAGACTAAAAAAAAAAAAAGTAGACATCATGCAACGCCACTGTGAGGCGACAAAACACAACAACAACAACGCTGGCCGAACGCACAGTGCTCCACGGAATAAAGACTCATGCGAGACCCACCGCCAGACGAACGGCCAGGTTGCATAGCTGAGGCATACTCCATGCCGCACACACCTCTTCTAATGATCGAAATGCCCAACGAGACTCCTCCCCTGACACTTCCCTTGCGCTCTTATCCCTCACACCTCCGTGTGGATGTGTGGTGCTGACACCGTGTTGCAGCAGGAGAACAAAGTACATTCTTCCCCCATCCATTTCATTATCGCTGCGTACCACATAAAAAACAGAGCCATCATTCGTAAACCGCGTCCTCCGCTGTGGCGATCCAGCCACTTGAAAGACAACAGCCCAAAGAAGCATTGACTCCTGCTGCGCACGCTTCATGGCATTCTCCGACAGTCGAGCGCTGGGACACACAAAGTTCAGTACCCAATGTTCCATACCTTGTCGACCCGCCGCATCATCCATGCAGGTGGTGACAGTGCAACGATTGCGTTGCCACGCACGCGCCCCTGGGCGTCGTGTACAGTCAGTGATCACAAAAAACGTGGTACGGGGCCGCTCACAGATGAGGTTCCATAATGCTTCCGCCAGTATGTGAGAACCAATGGAATCCAAGAACCCGCTTTCATTAACCTCGGTACAAGCAAAATTTAAATCAAACGGCAAAAGAAACTCCTTATGATATGCCTCCAGTGACTCATTCTCCACCAAGCGTGTCACAGAATCCCCACGTGATGGAGACACACAACTTGACTGCGACTTTAAACCTGTGGACGTGGGGTCCAAAGACGCGCTTGAGGCTGACGTTGTCACCCTCCTACGCAAAAACGAGACCACATCTGTAGCGGCAGAATTTACTGCCAAATCCACACGGTTTTCTTGCCTCCTCTCGAATGAGCAATTCGTATGGGATATATTCCGTCCCACTACCGGTTGTAATTCGTCGGAAATCGCCGCCCCTGCGCCTCCCGCATCCTTCAAGGGATAATGGAAAAGGCCCTCAAAGGGCATGGCTATAAAGCAACTCTGAAAGAAAAGCGTTAGGCGTCCATACAGGTCCCACACCAGGTGCTGTAGAATCCAAAAAAAGGGGCAGAGCACAAATATCCTCGCGCGCTTCTCCGTGAGGGAGAGGACTGGGTCCAATCCAGAATGAACCCACAAACTGTGGCAAATGTTATCACTAGAAAACTGATACAACAGACACTTCTCGCGAAGTGCATCTGGCAATAATCCCTCTTGTCTCCAAATGCTCTGAAGCTCCGCCACCTCGTTCAACGCCTCAGATGCCATGTACATATTACGCACGACGGCCATAACATCAAAATGCACAGAAGAATTTAGCATCATTTCCGCGACGCACTCCACTAATATCATGCGAATGGAGAGTGCATGCTGCAGTACAAATAAAAAATAGGCAAACAGCGACGTGTTCCCCCCTTGTATCGAGGCAAATGTCCGCTTCGCCTCTTCCTGAATTTCACTAAACCAGCCCAAAGTAGAATCGCATAAAACTTCAGACCAGCGAACAGCAAACATATGAGGAGGAGCAAATTTTTGTGATGATCGCGAATACGCAGCACCAAATAAAAAGACCCACAGGGCACGAAAGCGCGCCAAACATCTGATGTATGATAAGGCTGCCGTCACCTCTTCACGTCGCACGAATCCATCAACACCCCCGAGAGATTCAGCGGCAAGTCTTTTCAAGGCAGTCCGACTCCTCTGAAAGGCTGCTTCAAAGTAAGTATCACCTTGACTCATCAACTGTGTGAGAGACAAAAGAGCATGCACCGCCTCGTTCACCTTGGAAGGAAGTGAAGTGAAGCAGGGGGTAACCGGAAGTAGTGCACCTATACTACTCAACACCGCCTCCTGCACCACAACAGTCAGCCCTTCATTGGAAAGATCCCTAAGTATGCGTGTATGAACTTCCGCCTTCACCTCCATAGCTTCAATAAAAGGCACACATGCAGCGACAAGAAAAACATAAAAGAAAAAAAAATGAAGGCAATAACCCAACAAACGAAGAACAACATAAATATATATATATATAATATATATATCCATATGTGCTCCAACAAAGAAAAAAAAGCGCCACATACACACGAGAAAAATAGTACTGTGACTCCTAATTGGAGAGAGAAAGTACATATTATATATATATATATATATATGCGTAGCCGCAGCAACGCTGTCGCCCACGACTCTCACGCCAACCCCTCATTCAAAAAAGAGTGCGCACCTTACACCACAGATCATTCTCATTTTGATTCCTCAACACCCTTTTCCCTTTGCTTCTTTAAGGGACGTGTACGCAAAAGGGTTTCATAAATATTCCGCGCCCATGGGTGTTTGATATTCTCCCCTGAGTCAAAAAACGGGCTTAAATCTTTCTCAGGGTAAGCCAACTCATACGCGTGCGCCTGTGTGATCATCTCCAAAAGATCCATGTCTTTGAGAAATCGCGCTTCGGGTGAGCTTTGCGCCTCGTACTCCTCCCAAAGCTCCTGTAGCTCCGCAGACAAAGGGACTTCCTTCCCCAACAATCCACTAAGGTGTGAAACAGCCGCCTTTTCTCGACGGTATTTCTCGTCCTTGGAAACAGCCATCTTTGGGGAGATGTCACCAATGATGCTCTCCCCCGTATCGTGACAAAGCGCCATACGAATCAATTTATTTCGTTCCAGTGTCTCATCAGGGCACATCATACACATGACCGCAGTGCGATACATGTGGTCGGACACAGACTCCGGTTTTGGAATGCCATTCTCAACCCAACCCGTGCGTTCCGTTTCCTTAAGCCTTCCAATGATGTGAAGAAAGGTGATCGTGTCCTCTGCCATTGTGGCACACAGGACAAAAGGCAATGGCTTTTGTGAGGTGAAAAAGTCGGCTGTGGTGCAAGAGCCAGCAACGCACACATACACAAGCAATATTACAAGACAAAAAAAAGGGGGGACCAGACAGCAAGCAACAACTTTATTTCTAATGAGAAATGTTTGATGTGTTCATGCTTGCGTCATGATGATTCAACCCAGCGAGGCAACCCCTGCCTTGAACTACAGCAGCAAACGCTAACGTGATGAGACAAAACAGGCTTCCATCTCTCTTCTAGGCCCCCCAGTTCCAGTTCAAAAACAAGTAAAGGCAGTAACGCCACATTTCTCCTCTCACGCAATCCCTCTCACTCTCTTCCCCTCACATACACATGCAATCTCATTACTTCATCCCCAATGTCACCACCCAATTTTTCACTCCACTCCATTGCCATCCATCATAATCGCCACCCAATAAAAATAGTCACACAGGAGGTCAACAAACTCGTTCGTCACTTTACTGACATGCTGTGAATGAAGCTGGAACGCCATGAGCGTCAAGAAGAGGCTCATCGTAGCCAATTGCTTTTCGGACGGTAACACCGCGGAAGGCCTTCATGCCACGCAAAAGCTTGCCGTCAACGGCCTCATACACAACCTGCATTTAGTGTCCCTCTTTCACCTTTGGTGTCACCGAACTAAACTCAATATGCACGTTTGAATGAAACTCCCCTATGTAACTCCACTTTTTAATGCGTTCAAAGACTACACGGTTAGGTTTCCCACCCTCTATCACCACATCAATCTGCGTCATTTTCTGAGAGGCACTAAGCATACGGCGTCAACGTGGGCAATCCACAGTGCGGACAAAAACTTTGACTATCGATTCATACTCAAAGAGGAGAAGATGCAACTCTAACCGTGCCACTGGTGGTATCTTGGGCCGATGACGAAGCAACTCCACTAATTGAGGAGGTTCGATGCGTTTCATAAGAAGTTTTCTGGTGTCAAATCCACAAAGAAAGTTTCGAACAAATATATCTTCCTTCACTCCATTAATTGTACTCTTCAGATCTGTGTTTCGTTCCTTGGGTCGCATACTTCGCTGCTTGGCAAGCTCCACCATTTCTGGATACGTGACGAGTTTGCTGGTATGCTGTCCAGGATTCACTAGAATACCAAACTGGGACGCTCGAAACGCCACGGTGGCAAGGGCACTAAAGTGTTGCATACTCCCAACAGCTGTCACTGGAAAGGGCAATTGACAGAACCCCTCAAAACAAGTTCCCATCCTGGGAATGGGAAACCAACAGAACTCAAACGCGTCCACCCAACAAAAGTAGTAATCAAGGTAATCTTCCATTGACAAAACTGGTAATACAAGCATCCCATTCGGCATCTGCGTTAACACAGGACGTCGCTTCTCCTCACATCCATCTAAATTAATCCATAATTTCTTCCCCTTGGGAAAGGCATCGGTTGAATCCCTCTGCAGCTCACAACACATCTCTGCGGTACGAAGAAAGAGGTAGACCTCTTTCCACCCCTCGTGATCAGGTCCCTCGTTGTGTACTGCGTCCAATGCAGCTCGTAAGCAATCTAACGTTGAATGATTCCTCATGTTTTGATTGCTGCCCATAATTTTCATGGTCATGTGCATCCGCTGCTCCTCCGGCACATATGGCGGGTCATCAGGTGTGACGTTATGCGTATCCGCCCCAAAAAGTGTCACGGCATCCTTCAACCTATCCGGCACTGTGGGCTGTAGACGATAACCTTTGTTTGGAATCCGCCCGTGAAAGCATCGCTGAGTTCTTGCTGCACTAAATAGAGAAAATATAATCTGCGGAGAACGCACCGATGGGCGATGCCACACCGTCTAGCCCCATCCACACCCCTCCTAATCGATGTTGAATAATATATATCTTGTGTGTGCTTGCATGAAGACAAAGAGAGACAGCATGCAGAAGAAGACAAAAGCGTACACAACTGAAAATTGCTGCAGACACGTAGATACAGAAATCAAAAAAGAGACACACATTTTTCTTGTGATACACCCACGTGAACTACCCAACTCACACACATTCACACGCAGGCACCATCTCTTCAACGCGGCCCATGGGTGGCGTTGAGCAAACCTCAATCCTGTCATGTGTTGGATCGTTCCCTCTTTCGAACTGGGTCTACAGCACGTTCCAAGAGAACACGCTCCATTCGCGCTGGAGCCACGTTTTCCACCAGTGAAAGATACTCCAAACGGTCACGATGTAAGATGAGACTTGCCAACGTGTCACGGTGCTGATACCTTATCCAGTCCTCCTTGGTGCTCTCCAGCGTGAGGGTTCCCTCGTTTCGAAGCAACACCTGCTCAATGTGTGGCTGGTAGGTCAGCCCCGGGCGCACAAAAGGATCACCCATCAAAAAAATATTTGGCAGGAATACCACTGCCCCTAACCAAAAAAGGTGGCACACACCAAACAGAGAAATAGAGAGAGAAAAAAAAGGAAGAATAATAGTAACGGAAAAAAAAAAAGAGGGCAGTGAATATAAACCAACAAAAAGGACACAAAATAAGCGGAGATCAATGAAGGAAATGATTGAAACAACGACACCTACAAACCAAAGCAGATAGGAAAAAACATTTGTAATCGTATACGCGCTGACACCTCGTCATTGCAAGGATGACAAACGCCACCACCACCACCACCACCACCACCATTGCCTTGCATGTGTGGGTAAGTGTTGCATGTAAAGGAGTGAAAAATAAACAATACGAGAATACGCATTGACGCTCGCCATCTAAGGTAGGTGGTAATCTACTTCAATCACCAATCAATAAACAAACATTAATCTATTGCCACGGTAACGGCTCCCACACCAAGGACTTGTTCCACTTCTTTGAGGAGCTGTTGCCGTGTTAGGTGACCCTCCTTCACCTTTGTGTAACCCACATCACGTGCGCCCCTAGGAACAGGCACGTTCTGCGCACGTCTTCTCAGTGAAGAAGGCAAGCAAGAAACAACGTCCCCATGGAGAGCGGGTCCACATTGACTACTGGGTCTCTTTGGCGAAGCCGTAACAGAACGCTTCAGAGGGGTGGCAATCAATGCTTCCAACTCCGTCACAATCTCATCTGGCCGTTTCGCGCTTGGTGTGCTTCCACATTCCTCTGTGATACTCGAGAGCTCTACACTTCCTAGACTCGAAGACCGTTCCTGTGTATCACGTGTGTTGGGCACCTCGCGTGGAATGCCACGCTGTCTTGTCGAAAGCTCCTCATGTTTTTGAGGTTGTATAGCCTCATTTTGCTCTAAAGACTGGCGCCGTTTTTCTCTAGCAGCATGTTCAGCGGTTCGCTCCCTAACGTTCTGCATCGTCATCGACTGCGTCACATTTTGTTGGCCCTTATGGGGGCACTGCTCAGAGCTCTGCAAGTCATTGAAGGCCTCTCCTGATGAACCTCTGCGGAAAGTCGCAGATGGTGCTCGCCGGTAGGATGAAGAACATGACAGCATGCCATCATTCATCTCTGTCTTCCGCTTCCTCGCCAAAGGAATTGCATGTGTTAAATTCGATCGTTGCAAGTTACCAAGCGACGTAGCTTCAGCCTCTGCTTGGCATTGTGTTACCGAACAAGACGATGAAAAGAATAACGGCGGCTCCTCAGCGACTGACATGGCGTGGGCCCATTTCGGATTTCCCCATGGCTGTGGCCCATGCAGCTGCTCAAACCGCATAAGACTATCCACAAAATCTGTCTTACTGAACTCCTCGGCATCGACAAAACGCGAAGTCAACGCCACAACAATGCTGGAGTCCTCAGGGAACAGCTCACGTACCTGTCTCTTCACCTCGGCTAACTGAACAGAGGTAGAATCTTCCGAGGAGGCGTACTTACTGAAAAGAGCACGGCAACGGATTCGGCGCAGGTCATCCTCCGGCAAGCGCTGCAGTACTTTGTTCTCCGACGGAGGAAGCGATTTCGACGTCAACGATGAAGGACAGGTGTGGTTGTGGCTCAATTTTTGGTCCTGCTGTGGTTGTGGCACACAGCGATACCTTGACGAAGAGGGCTTTGTTGCACGTTGGACGTACTCTCGCTGCGCGGCCTCCCGGTTACGATCCGCAGTCTCTTGCCAGTTCCACAACCGCAAAACCAACTCCTCTGCAGCCTCGTTGGAGATCTGAAAGTCGCCAATCACGCCACTGTCAGCCAACTCTTCGAAAATCCGTTCTCGAAGTTGTTGCCGTATCAGGCGGCTTCCCCCCTCAAAAAACAGGCGCTCCCCCGCATCACTGAAAGGTTCACTTTTTCGACGCCTCGCAGCCATCTTTCTCGAGGTGACAGCTAGCGTGGGGTGAAACGTGCACCCCGCCATGACGCGATTCATTCGTTCGCTCTCGCGAAGAAGCCTGTCCTTGGCAAGTTTTTCTCTCGTGTGATTAAAGCGCTCGTGTAGTGGCACATACCCTGTGCACCCCAGCTGTTTAGCAAATGATGATATCTGCGGTTGAAATGTCATTTTCTCTTCATCCTCCTTCTGTAGCCTCTCCTGCTCTGCCCGCCTGTTCTCGCGGCGCCTCTGACACCCCATCGCAGCTGCGTAGAGGCGCAACCCTGCCTTCGTCGCAGTGGGAGAGACAGCCCTTGGCGAAAGCAACTTCTTCTGCGCCTTCGATTCCTTCAATTGATCTATATATTTCTTTTGCGATCTCGCTCGAGAAGCCACCGTGGATACGTTGAGGCGATCCAGAGCTTTAGGGTCAAAGTGTCGTGGTTTCGTCTGTCGCATGTTTTCTCGTCTTGCTTCTTCCTTTTCCTCATGTTCTTGCCGTTGTTGCCGCTGTTGTGCAGCTCCACGTGATCGTTGCAACCCCCCTCGCCCCGCCACCTCCATGCTGTTGCACACCCCGTGGAGTTTCATGCCCCGGATCTCACGAAAAGCCGCAAGAAGGCGCTCCTCCTCCCTACTGATTCCCTCATCGTAAAGGTCATCTAACAGATCGCCGTTTTCTATAATGATGCTTTGCGGGTTCGTCACAAGACTCATCGTCGTGATTCCGCAGCAACGGACCCCCCCCCACACACACACACACGCACACGCAGCCACAAGCACACAACTATGCGTCGGGCCACCGACCGGGGAGCCAAGTGCGACAAGGAGGGTTCCTCACAACTCCAGAAAGCCAAACCATGCATATAAGAAGAAACGGAAAAAAAAAAATGGAAAACACAGTAAAAGAACAACAATAAAGCACAAAAAACAACAACATCAAAAAAGCATCCCTCATTGGTGTTAGCATGCCCAGCTTCTTTGCCTGATTGACTTTGTTTGTTTGTGTTTGCCCTTCGGGGAGTGAAGCTCCTGCTGCTCGCCTGTTACTCGCTTACAATACACCCCTGCGGTTATTACTCTCGCGTTAATCCTCGTCATCGCACGACTCCCATTCCTGTTTCTCCATGTCCTCGTTATCGTCATCCCCTTCCTCATCCCTCTCGTCCTCCGGCGTTAGCAGCTCAATAGGGTTTGGATGATCCAAGTCCGCTATTTGTTCCACCACCGCCGGACCGCCCATCTCCTCCACCAACACGGCAATCGCTGCATCCACCTCCTGCAAAGCCTCCGCGGCACCGTCAGACATTGTCAGCATCACGCGAGCTCGACGAAGAAGGCGCGCGGAGTCGGCGTAGCGCTTACGCAGTCTCGCTGATTCTCCCAGTAGAAACCAAATGTAGGGATTGTTGTCACCAAGCTGCAGGATCTCCAACAGGAAGCGGTATGCCTCGTCAGGTGACACTTGCATCAACAGACGACTCAACTCCACCTTGGAACCGTACGTGGGCTGATAAGCCTCACTGAGACGGTGCGTCAAATCCACCGCACGACGTAAAGACTGCAGGGCCTCATCAGAGCGGTTTTGACTAAGACGCAGCGAGGCCTGCAACTGATGAGCCTCTACACTCCGTCCATTGCACTTGAGCGCCTGCACAATGGCCTCCTCGCAGAGTTGCTCTGCTCCTGGGGCATAGCACAAGTCTGTCAAATAGAGCTCAGCAATAGCGCAGTAAATCGTGGAAAGAGTTTCATTCAGAGTTTCCCGTCGCCTCTTTTTCCTGCATGCGTCCAGTTCCCCTCGAACTATTTGTAAGGCGCGCTGATAACACTCCAGAGACTCGTTTGAGTCACACAGCTGAGCCAGGTTAAGGTACTTGACGTAGCCATGCTGTGGATCCACCTCAATGGCGTGTTGCAGCATTTGCTTTGCCCGAGGAATATCCTGTAGGTGGTGAATCATCAGCTCCGCGTATGCCTCCAGCACATCAATGTTGTTTGGGCTACACGTCAAGGCGACCTCAAAAAACTCCTGTGCAGCCTGACAGTTTCCCACATCCGTCGCATTCTGCGCCAATGCTAAAAGTGTGCTGACGTCCATCGCAACCAGTTCGCACAACGAGAGACCTTACTACCCCGCTGTCACCACGGGTCCCAACGGCCACACCACGGTGACAAAGAATTAGCGCAGGAGCGGCACTCGAGCGTTGCACCAGGCAAAGATGATTCAAACACAACGGTGCAAGACAGATATATATGCAGAGAGAAGGAAAGAGAAAGAGGGGCGTCCCACAGCACTAACCAACCGGAGATGCAGGAAAATTCAATCAAAAAAAAACAAACTGCGATCGGTTTCACTGCCCACTTTTTCACAGAAAAAAAAAGGGGCAAAAAAAAACCGACAAGAACAAAACGCAACAAAGTACTCACAAGGTCAGCAACAGAGCGTCACAATCGTGGTTTCTCCTATTTTTTTGTTGCTGTTTTTCTTCTTACTCAATGCCTGAAAACTCTACATTGAAACTGCACCCCAAAACGACAGGGTGGCTGTCACTCATCCTCGTCAAAACGGGAAAACTGCTCAGCTAGCAAAAGCCGGTCAAACATGTATGCAAGTTCCGCTTCGTAATCTACCGCATTCTCACTGTTTCGCGCCGCCTCAATGCGAAGAAGTCGCAGGTCGCGACGTGTGAGATGGTACGGGGCGTTGGCGAGAACGTTGAAGTAGTGGTCAAGAGAAAACAGGCCCGTGGCCTCCTCGTCAGCGTATCGCAAGAGGCGCAGAAACTCTTGCTCCACGTCCCGCCTCGACAAGCCATGGACGGTGGCGTTCTCAACGTTGGTTACCTCAAACTCGTGATGTGTCTGCTCAAAGAAAAGTACCGCACCACAAGACTCCTTAGCAAATGCCGTGTAGTCTACGGGGTCGTTCTCCGCTAGCGACGTGGACGTCAAGACGTATAGCGCCTGCGAGGGGGCAAGCTTACACGTCTCCAGAAGAGCCTGCTTTATAGTTTGCATGGGCAGAACACCAGATGCATCGATATCAAGCTCGGCAAACATCTTCAGCAAACGCTGAGCCACCGCCTCACGCTCCTCGCCTTCCACCACAGGAGAAAAGTCGCCGGGGGAAGGCTGCTGGGCCTGCAGCGGGTCCGTCTCCAGCGCCAGCCGCTTGAAGTAATTAGCGCTCCACTGCAGCACATCTTCAGGTTGAGCACGAAGCACCTCACGAGCGTATTCCTTGAGAACACCGGGGAAGTTCAGCGGCAGATGTTGGCGCGGTTGATAGCGATTTGCCAACGTCCGCTCACGGAATGTTTCCATCTCGTACATTCTTCAAAAAAAAAATTTCCGTTTTGTTTTTTTCCTCTTTTCTTTTTTTTTCCACCACACAGTTGCTTCGGTGGTTCCTCCTTCTGCCCTCAGTAGTAGTCGTGACCACTTCGACTTTATTCGGCGTCAAAGTGTGAGGAAGAAAGAGATCGAGAAAAAAAAAGTCGACGAAGAGAGAACAAACACAAAGTGTTAAAAGACGAAGAAAACAAGTGATGGAAGGCAAAATAAAAGTGAAAAATGCATGCACACAGTGAAAAAAAAAAAACAGAAACAGAAAGATACAAATAAAAGAAAATTCTTTTTAGCCTTGTTCTCTGTAGCCTCTCTCTCTCTCTCTCTCTATATATATATATATATATATATATACGTATGTATCTATGTGCGTACGGGGTGCATGCACAAACCAAATGCGGTTCCCAGCGCTTATGTGTGCACAGACGCAAGGCACACTCATGAACCTCTCGCATCTGCGTGGAAGCCGTCACATCGTCCCTCGCTTCTCGTGGCAAAGATACACCCCCCTGGAGCAAAAAAAAAAGAGCAATGAGGGAAAAAGCCGGCTGCATCAAGCTTCCAAACGAGGTTTGCCTCAGAAATCATCGTACAACAGGCGGCTGACGTCAGAAGCAAGAGCAAATGTGGCATCATCCACCATTTCACACACCCCATTGCTACGGAGGAGAAACTTACGGTTTTCGTCAAACCAACGAAGTTCGTACTGATCGCCTACAAGCACCTGAACTGCTCCGTTGGAGAGCAAAAACGCACTTAATGAGTGCTGTGCGTCAAAGCGAAACCAACGAACATACACAAATGGTTCCCCTTGACACCGGATTGCCGTTTGCGACGTCCGGTAAATAGAGATGGTGCCAGGAGCGCGATGCTGCTTCATCATATTGCAATCGTACGCGACAACGCGTTGTAGGAGATTGTACGCACTTTCAGCCAAGCACTTCGCATTTCCAAGTGAAACCACGCGCGCCGCATCACTGTTCTCCAAGGTGTCAACGTAATCCACAATGAGCATCTGACGCTCCAACACTGAAATTACGGCTGAATGCATTGAAAAACCGTGATTAAGAAAAATTGCCCCCGTACGCCCCGGCTGAATGTGATAAGTAAAAGCAACGGGCTCTACGTCTTCCTCTGTTGGAAATAAATGAAAATGACGAATCCAATCCCCGTTAAGCAAAACCGCGCGCTCCTCTGGTGTTGGTTGAATGGGTTTGTGGCTAACCGATAAGCGTTCCATTGGCTTCCACTTCCCCTCTGGCATCGTGTTGATGGGTCTGCTGAACAGCGACGATGGCGTCGTCTCCGTCACCGTCTCCTCCTTCACAGCGTTCCCTGCGCCCATCATTACCGCTTCCCTCTTTGGGACTGACTTTGCCGCAGCTGCCGTGGAAGCTTTCGTTGTTGGGCCAGAAGCAGTAGTAGCATTGGTGGACCCCCGCGCAGCCTTGTGGGTTTGTATCACCGTCTTCTTCGACGTGGCAGGGTTGGTGGTGTTTAACTGCGCTTGAGGAGCCACAGGCCTCTTTTTGTTTTTACATGCCGCTGCACAACTGCCTTTTCGATGGTGCTCACGCAGCATCACACTATTTTCATAGACGGTGCCGCACTTGGAACAGCTGCACTGCTTGCTGTACGCTTGATGGCAATCCACGCATAAATCTCTGCCACAGGAACAGTGAAAAAAGTAAATGCTTTTCCCAACAGGCAGAAACTCATAATCGCACATGTCACATACAAAGCCATACTGATACTTTTTGCTTACACGCGTAGTCTCCTTGAAACGGTGAGGATGCGTAGCCGATTTTCGTTGTTCCTCCGCTAGCCAAATCATGTCAAACCACTCTTGCTTTTCCTCCGCCGTCACGCGGAAAACGGAAAAGAGGCATTCTAACTGTAAAAGGATCATTTTTTCCGCAAGACCCCGTACAGCCATCTCCATGGCAACAACTTCCGTAGCATCCATCCATCCCGATGCAAGCTTCTTCCTGGTAATATGAGCAGGTACAGTGCCTGCCGTCTTAGGCGCCGCATCGTCGACGGACTGCATCCCTCCTTGCTCCATAACTCCATCGGAGACCATACCCATGGCACACGCATTCATGGCTTCCCGTGACAACTTGTGGTTTTTATCACACTCATAACTGACGTGAGAATGGCGTAGACATTGCGTGGTATGGTTTGTTGCGTTCCACTCTTCCACTTGACCATTAAGGAGCCGTACGGGAGACAATTTTTTTTTCGACGCCATCTGATCTACTTCTGCTTCTCCCGCCTCCTCAGGAGGCACCGAAGATGACTGAGGATTACTACGATACCTCCTGCCGCTCCTCGTTGTTTTGCTGAGAGCTTTTTCTCCTTCATTGACAAATTGCTGCGTCACCGGAGATGTAGCACGGGAGTTCCCGCGTGAATTTACACGAGAACTTGCACAAGAGTTACCACGTGAAGCGGAGCAGACTTCCTGCCTTGCCCGTTTTGACCGGCACCGCCTGAGTCCCTTCGCCGTCTCTTCAGCAATAACTACCGATATTTCACGGAGCGGTCGCTTCCGCTTCGCTTCGCGGCGAACATCATACAGCTGATGCGTTGGCACACCGCCCACTGCCGTTTCCTCCCTGGCCACAAATTTTAGTGATGCGCGTAGCTCAGCCTCTTCAGCCTCGCCTTCACCGGGGCTGTTGGCGCGGCTGCCCATCAGGCTGGCGGTGACGTCGGCGCTGCGCTGTTCCACAGCCCGCAACAAGTGAGCCTCGTCGTGGGATAAAAGAAAATCGTCTTGAACACCCAAAAACGCGGTGACAGCGGTCGGCGGGGCCCGACGGCGGGAATTCCAGATTGGCTTGCTGAGAATCGCCAAAACATCCGGCCGTTTCACGGGATCACAGACGAGAATAAACTCCACAAGTTGCCGCAACTCGTTGGAGACGCTGCAACCCACAGGCCATCGCCAGTCTGCAGCAGCCACGCGGCGCAGTAACCGCACATTCTCACTATTGAGCCTTGTTGGCAGTGCTGCCCCACCATCGTCACCGTCTCCATCCTCGTCAGCGTCCTCATGGGAGTGAGATGCGGAGCGGGAAGCAATGGAGGGCGGGTAAGGATTGCGTTGCGTAAAAATAGAGAAAAGTACGATGCCCGCCGACCAAACATCAGCAGAGGCTCCAACGCTAACCCGCTGATCTCTGTGCAGTGCGTTGTGTGCCATTTCCGGTGCCATAAATGAAACAGTGCCTGCCACCACGTCACCCGGTGGCGGGTTCCATTCAGTGGAGGCTAATCCAAAGTCTATGAGTTTCAGGTTGCCGTCCAGGTCAAACACAAAATTTTGAAGTTTAACATCTCTATGAATGCATCGCTGCTCGTGAACGCAGGCAACCGCCTGCAACACCTGGTGGGCGAGAAACAGCATATCAGCTTCATTGGTGAGGCGTGTCACTAAAAGCAAATCATGCAGCGTCGACGGCACGCAGAGCTCCATACCGACAATAATCAGATCACCGGTTTTGTTTATAGCCCCAAACTCAAAGCGAGGCAGCAGGAGTTTCCCTTTTGTGCATACCTTGACAAGAACGTCTAACTCCTGGCGAAGACGTGCGGCCTTCCCGGTGGCAATCTTGAGTGCCAGCCTTGGATATCCGTCACACGCAGCGCGATACACGGTACCAAAGGAGCCCTGGCCAATACGTTCGCATGTCCGTACCGATAACAGCTGACCTTGCGAGGAGCCGCGCAACGGCAGACGGACCTCCACGAGGCGCACAAATTCGCCGTCGTACAATATCCTCTCAACGCTTCCCAGCATTAGTGGGCCCCACACCTCCCTTGGGTGCGAAGCAAACACAAACGCAAAATAAAAACAGAAAAAAAAATGGCGAAAAGACAAACGCTGAACCATTACTAAAAGTTAACTAAACAATTACCAACTAGCGGCAGACGCAAACAATAACAGCAATGATAAAAAGGTCGAAAGCATAGATTGTGTTTGTTTATTTGGTTTTCTTCTTACTTGAAGGGTGAGAAGAGAGAGGTGAGGTGGAGATAGAGGAGGGTAAAAGAAGGAAGGAGATCGTTGCGTGTCTCACCCCGCACTTTGGCAACAGCGGCATCACATGGCGTCCGCAAAAGATGGATGTGCTGCAACAAGGACAAACTCCTCCCGCGTTTTCTCGTCCGTGAGACACTGTAGATAGTACAAACTCCTCGCAGACGTTAGCTTCTTCCGCATCGCTGAACTCGACGTGTACTTACGCAGCAGGTGCCGCAGGTAGAGCTGCACATCCTCCTCCAGGAGTGAGCAGTACCACGTCTGCCCATCGCCGTCATTTGTGCTGCTCACCAACGCGTGCGAAACAAGCAGATGAACAGCAAGAGCATCTACGAGGCACTCGTTAAGAAACTGAAGTTCGTCCTGTGGTGACAAGCACGCATCACCATGCGATGCCATCACAATGGCGTAATCGTTCCGTCCAACTAGATACGTGTGGAGAGCCACACGCGTGCGGAAAAAGGAAAATGAGAACAACAAAAGGTATCAATATAGTAAAAGGGACAAAAAGACATGGAATTCGAGAGAAACCCCCTCCTCAGGTGTAAAGGCCCCAAGAGAAGGAATAAACAGAGGGTGCGCACACTGCCAATAAGCTGAGAAACAATCATGGGAGAGCGGGATTAAACCCCACCTGAGATATATACACATACAAAATTAAAACAAAACAGTGACGGTGATGCAACGGCACCCAAACCGCACTGAATGTAAGCCGTACCTGATGTCTGTCTTCTTCATGTACATAGGTCGGACCGCCGAGATTCAAAAACAGCAACCCGAAATGAAACTAGTCGTAGCAGTAAACATATACAAAGCAAAACAAAAAAAAAACAGAAACAAAAGAGATTACAAGTACAGTTAAACAGAAACAACAGCGAAGCAGCAGGGAGGAAAAAAAAAAAGAGCATCCCCACAAACAATACCGAGCAGATAAGTCAATGGAAACAGTACGGCTAAGTGAAGGAATAAGAAAAAGAACCTCCATCAATGATACATCCAAACCAACAAAGACAAAAAAAAATAATAATAATATTTTTTTTTTTTGCTCTGGTGATAGATACTGTTACCTTGGATTTATCGTTGCCGGGCTTTCCAAACAAAAATGGAAATGCGTGGAGTATGCAATCATTTTCATTTTCATTTTCGGGCATGGCAACACAGCGCGTCTTACGGCTCCTCCTTAGCTATCCCGGGCACATGGAAAAATATCTTCCACGTTTTGATCACGTTTCTTCCAGAGCAATCGGATACAGGAATGTTATTTGACCGCCGTGGCATTAAATTATCCTCACCCCATTGAAGCGTTGTTACTTTTGGAACAATGAACCAGTTCACACCATGGTTCTTCTTTACGGACGACCGTGCTCCCCAAGGCTGTAGTTTGGGTTCCTGCTCCAATGATTGTCGGTAGCCCGCCGCGGCTTCACTGCTGTTATGGCTACTTTGGCTTGTCGGGGGGTGCAGAAAACGCACGTCGGGGGGGGAAGACCGATCCACTGTTTGATGGTTGGGACAGGAACTCGTATTTTTATCACCGATGCCAGCACCACTACGCTCAAGCTCCGCTAAACGGCATCTCCTAACAGCTGCAAGCCCCGACCCTTGCCTGGGTATTGCCTGCGCCGCCATCTCCCTCGACTTTTTCACGGCACCTCGAACTTGTCGACCACAACCTGGCGTCAACGTGCAGTGGCTGTTCGACAACGGTGTGCACAGGACACGAGATGAATTACCCGATGACGGCACCCGCCGTATGACGTCAGAATACACCGACGTGGGCGCTTGTGCACCATTTCGCGGGGGTTGTGGCTGAACGGTTCGCTTTCGCATCAATTCGTCTGCTCCCTCCATCTCGCGCCGCTGTTGTTGCTTTAGAGCCTGCTCTGCTTGACGTTGACGCTGCTGCATCTCTTTTACCTCAGCGTACCCTAAATCATACAGGTACCGTCGTGTAGGATCGCTCAATACATCATACGCGTCCTTAATGTCACAAAAACACTCCGTGGAACCCTCGTCCGGACGATCCGGGTGGCACAGCAAGACAAGCCGTTTAAACGCATCCCGGACATCCTTTGCGGAACAGGATGGAGGCAAGGAAAGCAAAGCGTAGTAATCCACAAACATTGCCCCCACCACACCCAATGAGTAAGAAGAGAGTAATTCACCTCAATTACCCTCGCCGTTGTTGTTGGTATTCTTCTTCTTCCGTTGCTTAGATCCTACTCCTGTTTAGAAAACCAAAAGGCAATTCAGAACACACCCACACCACGAATAAAAAAATAAAATAACGTAATGGCTCTCACTTTTGTTTTAACTATATGTTTCTCTATGTGTGCGTAGCCACGGCAAGGCGACCGCCCTAAAATAAAATAAATCCAGACAAAGGAACGATAAGCATCATGCAACAAAAAAACAGGGGACAATGCCCAAAAAAAAAAAGGGGTGCGCGTGCTTTCTCCTCATCTGCAAGCAGCAGCCTCCCCTGACGTTCAACTCCCCCTTTGTATCGGGTGTCACTGCGGTTGCAGTTCCTTTTCAATGTTTCCTTCCATTTTACTCGAATGCACACAGTGGAAAATAGAAGGTGAGATAAATAAAAAGCGGGGTTTGCTTCAGGGCCCTCTCCCTCTTTTTTTATTAGTTGTCTCGCAACTGTGAGTCTGCGTATCATATACTGTCTTCCCCCATTCTGTATGTGTGTGTGTGTGTGTGTGTTAATTTTCCGTCAGAAGGAGTCGCCCGGCGTTCAATCCTTCACAGCCCTCATTTACCTCGTCCCGCGGCGGATTTTTTTTGTCTCCTGCCGTTCACGAGAGCTCAGCAGTGCGTTCTCAAGTGCATCAACGCCCATGATGGTGTCCACGGTGCGGCTGTTAAGCTTGCCCTGCCGCTCCTTCTTCACATAATAACTGTCCTTCAGAAGCTCGTCAAGTTCAGCCTGCTTCCACGCCCGGCTCCGCTCCCCGCGGGTCATTTTTGTCAACTTCAGAGCCTCTAACTTCTCATTGCGCTCCGTGCGGTGTCGCTTCTGGGGGCTTTGCTCTGCCTCTGCCCCCTCACTGTTCAGCAGGGTAGCATCTCCATCCCGCGCCTCATTATGTGGACGCCGCACACCACTCAGTTGAGTCCTACGTTCTTGCCGCTCGCGCGTCCGCGCGTTAACAATCTTCAGAACCTCCTGCAGCTCATCCTGTAAAGGAATCCGCAGTAGTCGCATATGCTTGATTTCACCACAGTTGGGAACCTTAAAAAGCGCAAAGCCGTGTGTCAGATCTGTGAGGTCAATCAGCTGCAGTTGAAATATGTACCGACACTCGTGTTCCTTGTATGCACGAATAAACGAAACAAACGCTCGCGTCGCCAACCCAAGCAGTTTGTCATCCACATCATCCCTAACTGCATGTCTCAACTTAAGAATCGATGGACTCTCGCACAAATCCCCCACAACTTCTTTTCGCGCCATATGAGAGTCCCTACCACGCGCCGCCTCGCGCTCCTTTCGTAGCTTCTCACGACGTTCCTTGCGATTCAGCTTCTGATCCCTGTGAACCTGTTGAATGTTTTTGCGTCTCTCCTGCTGCGAGCTCATTAAGGTACGTTTGGCGTTCATCTGACGCACAATTTCCAGAGCAGCCTCTATACCATCCTTTTCTTCATCGTATGGCTGCAGTGACACATTTTGCAGCTTCATAAAAGCGACATACTCCAACTCCTGCGGCATCAAAAAAACGAGACTTTCCCCTTGGCGCCCCATTCGAGCTGTACGGCCAATGCGGTGAATAAACGTTGATGGGTCAACGGGAGGATCATACTGCAGTACTACTCCGACCTCAGGAATGTCTAATCCTCGTGCTGCCACGTCTGTGCAGACGAGAACGCAACGCTTTGCCCGTGTCACGGCCCGTTGCACCCGTTGACGCTTCTCAAGCTTCATCTGCCCATGCAAAGCAAAAATGTTTTCTGCGTCCTCCTGCAGTAGCACATCAGCAAGAGTCGTGTAAAGCCAGTCCACGCTGGCGCACGTCATTACGTAGACAATAATTTTTTGTTCACGACGCTCCTGAAGAAATGCAATCAAACGATCCAGCTTCTCTGATGCCCGTGTGAAGGTGTAGTAGTTGCAAAGCAACTCTGGAATCTGCGGTTTGGCCTCGTTCATACCGGCGGAGTTTAGGGAGCTCACGCGCACCGTGACGGACACCGGGTTCCGCATCCCCGCACGAGCCAGTTCTGCCAACTCCTTCGTCTGCGTGGCACTGAAAAGTCCGGTGCGCCGTTGCTTCGGCAGCCGTTTAAGTATGGCGTCCAGTTTTGCCTTGAAGCCGAACTCCAGTAGTTTATCTGCCTCATCAAGAATAAGCAGCTCAAAGCCGGCAAAATTAAAGAGACTCGTGTATTTTGAGGATACCAACAGTTCGTAGAGTCGTCCCGGCGTGCCGATCAAAACATGACCCCCCGTTTTGTTGAACACATTCACATCCACTGTGATATCGCGGCCACCAATGTAACACTGGCACGAGTACTTTGGAAGCCCGGTCTTTCCGTCCCCATAAACGTGTGAAACAAAGTGGAGCATCTTCCTTGCAAGCGCATGCACCTGTTGGGCCAACTCGCGCGATGGAAGAACAATGATGGACACAACGGCATTTTTATGTTCGCTGCAAATCTGAACCACGCGATCACTCTGCAGCATTTCGAGACAAGGTAACAAGTACGCAAGCGTCTTTCCACTGCCTGTAATGGCCTCCACCACAACATCGTAGTTGCGAAGCAGCAGCGGGACGGTTTGCGCCTGCACAGGTGCCATGTACTGAAACCCGGCGCACTCCGACAGGTAGGAGAGTGTGGCTGGGCGCAGCTGCACCCCCTTCATATTATTCCACTCATTTTGGCTCACACCACTCATCTTGTGGTGGCAACGCTCTGGCGCCCAGTCGTGCATAATAAATAAAAAATAAAATACAAATGTGGGATGAGCACACAATAAAATCATGGCAAAATCACAAGACTCCAAACGACACCAAGAAACAGTCAAAAACAATCTGTTTAAAATAATAATAATATTTGTTTTTTTTATCTTTTCTTTTTTCTTCCTTGTTGTTTTGTTTTCCAGCAGAGGATGCATGAAGGCCCGAATACCTCGCGCATCGGAGTGATACGCACGGCACTAAACCACCTCCGCCTCTAAACAAAGCACATCCTGCACAAATTCATCAACTATCTCACTGTAGCCTCGAAGTAGAGGCAGCGTATTGTGCTTTCCCTCAGGAAAGCCGACAAATCTTCGCATCGACTTTGATTTTTCTGCAGCTGCATACAACCGTTGCATTTGCCACGCTGGTACCACTTCGTCACCTCCTCCAGAGAGAAAAAGCATGGGAGCGTCGATTCTTTCCACCAAGTCAAGGTTCCTCCATCCGATGCGCAGACACAATGGTTTCACGTAGTAGTCAAACAAACAAAGCCAAAGTGCAGGGCAGCGACTCACCAACCCTCTTACTGCCACTCGGGCCAATACAGACGCCATGTCACTGACAGAAGTGAAAGTGTTTTCAACAATCACTCCAGCTATACGCTTCATGTTGGCTTGCTGCGACGCCAGATGAATAGCAACCGCACCTCCCAGACTTGTTCCCATGACAAAGATCCGCCCTTGCGGTATGCGGAGATGATTCCAGACGTACTCCAAACACGCCTGTGCATCTAACTTTAACCCTTCCTCCGTGGGTGGAACAGAATCACTGAGACCAAAACCACGGTAATCTATCATCAGAACTGCGCAACGGTGTTTTGTGGTGAAAAGGGTGGCAATTGGTACACGGTGACCCACGTTTCCAGCATTTCCATGGAAATATATGATGACGTAGAGCGTTGAGGAGATTAAACGGTCTCTAGGGGTCATCGAACCGCAGGGAGAGAAAGTCCCAGTGCTCAAATTGAAATTTTGGCCCCTACAAGAACCTTTTGCGCCTGATTGTTGCGCCAGCTGCTGTTCAGGTGATGGCCACATCATAAATCCACGCAACGTGACGCCATCTGCGGTGCGTATGTGCACAATGTCCGTGTTAACGAACCCTCTATCAATTGGACTCTCGCAGGTGTTGGTACTTCCCGCCGGGCTCTCGGGAAAGTACAAGAACTGATTTTGTTTCTCACGCAATATATAGCTAAGCACGATGAGGAAGACGGAAAATAAAATCACAACCGCACACATCCAAAAAATGTACGCCACGAGCCAGTTTAATGCCTCCATTCTTGCTATTGCTGCTGTTGGTACGTTTCCGCTTTGTTTCGTCGGTAACGGTGAGAGGTTGTGGGGGCGCTGCAAAAGAATTGTCGTCGCTGCCGCCACCTCCGTCCGCTTGCTTCCCTCTTGATTCGAACGCCCCACACCACAGCAAACTATGTTAAGTAGGCAATGCAAGATGCCCAGGCTCTTATCGTCCCCTTCGCACTTCCTACAAAACTCTCCAACAGAGGCGTCAACGCTTTGTTCTATGTCATGCACTCCCGCAACCTATGGGCGAGGCACACGAAGGAGAAGAAGCAAAGGAGCATGTTCACGTCGGCATAAACCCTTCCCTCTGTCAATGGCAAACAACAAACACCAAGGCGCACACACACACACAACAAAAAAAAAAACAGACAAACAAGATGTCTACGCATGTACACACGGACATAACAAACGAACTCATACTGAAACAAAGTAGCAGATGGACTAGCGTTCCCAGCAAAGGAGTTAAACTAAGAGTTATCTCCTTCCTTTTGTTTATGATTTTCCGTTCACACAAAGCGCAAATTCATTCGCACACGAAGAAATGACTCGTCAAGGGTTTTTTTTCCATTTTTTTTTTATAAAAAACAAAAATAAAAACAAAAAACACACACGCAGTAGTAAAAACCGTAACAAGACAATGAGGACGGCGTTGAATTGAGGGCCAATGCTACGCGGATCACGCCCTCTGAGCTTAAGACAAAACACGCACACAACATATATGTGTATTCAGCCGAAGACAGCCTCCTCCACATCATCCTATCGATAAACACGTAGGTGGTCATGCAACCCAATGTGCGCATCTGTGCGCGTGGATGTCCGTCGTAGGGCTAAACACTCATACCACTCATACCGTTATTTCATTGTTTCTTTTCTTTCCCATTTTTTTGTTATCTGTTTCGCTAAATATCTCTTTTTGCCTACTCTTTGTGTTTGCCTCCCTTTTGCAAATATTCCTTTAAGTTTTGCTCAGCACGGGCAAGAGCTCTTCTCCTGCGATGTGGGCTGGTTGAGATTGACGGACTGCGGCAGCACTACATCTTCCTCCACAGTCTCTTTTTGCGCCAGGGCAGTGGTAGCAATGGCAAGAAACGCCTCCTCCACACCTGTATTCTCCTTCGCTGAAGTCTCAAAGTATCGCATACAGCAACCCTCCGGACCGCTGTTGGTGTTACTGCCGTCTGCAGCAGCAACAGCAGCGTCACCGCTTTGCGCCGCACACCATGCCTGTGCCGTCTTACTTGCCACCTGCCGACGATCCGCAAGGTCCGTCTTGTTGCCAATCAGCACACTGTCCCGTTTGCCCGCTTGAATGTTGAACTCCTCTAGCCAGGCGCCTATGTGCGAAAAGGACTCCTGTTGCGTGACATCAAAGACAAGGATGCAGGCATCCGCACCGCGGTAGAACGCCGAACCAAGCGACTGAAACCGCTCCTGTCCGGCCGTGTCCCAAATCTGCAGTGTCACCACTTGTCCATTTAACTCCAAGTCCTTCGTGAGAAAGTCGGCACCAATGGTAGCCTTATAGCGACTGTCAAACTTTTTGTTTACATACTGATGCATAAGTGACGTTTTGCCGACCCCACTGTCGCCAAGGATGATAATCTTTAACAACTGACGCTTTGATGGCATGCCGGCGCGCACCTGTGTCCAGTAAATTCAGTGACTGTGGATATTTCTCTCAGCGAATGTATGCAACCGTACGCTGATGCTGATCAGCCTTGTTTCGACGGAATGAGTCTCTTTGTTTGTTCCTTCCTTTGCGTAAAGACACTCACAGAAAAGTCAAAAGTGAAAGGCGCACTCAAGCACCGTTAGCGAGCATTCACCTACCACGTAGGCAATCACACAACAGGAGCAATAATAATAATAATAATTGGTGCGACAAAAACAAATCACAACAACAGAATGGTACCATACACATGCACAGTTTCATAGTGAGGGAGAACAGAGAGAGAGAGAGAGAGAGAAAAGAAGAGAAGCTGATTGCACAATGATTCAAAATCCAAAGAAAAGAAAAAAAAAAGCGAGAACAAAAAAAAAGAAAATTTTACATGTTTTTTTTTGGTTTTTCTTTTGTCGTCGTTTTGTTTTCTCCTCCCCACTTTTTGCAGCTCGCTGGTTATGTCCTCCGAGTAAATACATGCGGACACACCTTTTATATATACGTATATTTTTGATGTACGTGCGCTTCACAGTTCATGTGCGGACTTCCCCCCTCCCCTCCTCTTCGTCTCGCTGTCGTCACAGGCAAACGACCGCCGCTTGCGCAATCAACACATCATTGCCCTCATCATTCCCAATACTTGTATTTCCCCTTCTGCTTTAAGAGGTTATCTATCATTCAATAATCCACCATATACCCCAACCGGCGCCCTTCAATTCCACTTCACTCAGCTCATCCATGGCCAGATCCCTTTTTGTTACTGTTGTTGCCCACATGTCTGCACTCCTGTCGTGCAGAAATATTCCCCTCTCCCCCACCCCATGACCGGTCCTCTACGGCTGACCAGCGCGCACACACACACACCGTGGTCGGCGGCGCACGCCGTCGAAGCACAGACACAATAACATTAATACACGCCACAAGGGAGCAGGCAAAGAGAGTCAAAAAAAAAACACACACAAAAAACAAAAAACAAACAAAAACAACAGCATAAAGCCTAGCTAAGAAGTAAGAAAAGAGAAAGGCGCGCTCCACCCGTTCGTGTACCCCCGACCGCCATCCCGCCACAGCACAAGGAGTTCATGTTTTCTATACGCGCACACACACAAACAGAACCAAAGATGGCCGCAGATGATCCCACAAAAAAAGCAGACGGACTCAAAACATCAACCCAACGGAAAACAAGCAAAAAACACGCGATAAAACCAACACAAATATACAAATACAAAAAGTTTTACTGTATTTCACTCAAGAGCGGGAAAAGGTCGAAGCGCCAGGCGAATGAAGAACACCTGCTATTCTTTCTTTTCCCCCTTCGGAGCCTGTCTGCGCGCACAGCCACACAGGAAACAAAGACATCCAAAAAAAAAAAAAAAGGCAACGAAGGTAAAAGTAGAAAAGAAAATAAAAACAAATAAAAAGAGCTCAACTATGCAAGATAATGACATGTCTGCACTCTCCAGCTCCACACCACACCATCACACAAAATACCTCAGCCACACGAGCCCACCCGCTGGCGCAGCACCATTGCATTTTGCACACTGTGACTGGCAAACCACTTACCCGTTCATGCAAAAAAGCCCACACTGCAAAAAATATTAATCCAATGTAAGTCTACATTATTAGCTAACGTGAATTTTCCATGTTCACCCACACTCCAAGAAGTACACTCCAAAGAAGCAAAAAAATCTAGAAAAATTACGAAAGCAACAGAGCGCACACCTATAGCAGTAATTCAGTCTAAACAACCGTCAGCACAACCTAACAAGGCAGTCGCCTGGAATGCAAAAAAAAGGCGAAAACGCAATCATCTCAAGAAATAAAGAAAATTGAAAAAAAACACCATAAAAAAGTCCTTAGCCACACATCGAACAACCAAAAAAAAAAACAGCATGAAACAACAAAAACAGTACATTGAAAGCGTAAAGCAGTCTAAAACCCACGGAACTCGGCCTGTTGTGCAGCGGTTAAGGGCGACGCACGATCTTCCCGACTTTCGGGGAAACACTCAAAGTTACTCGTGTCACCAGGGTTCTTTACCTTCACATGGATCGGGGCAGGGTAGTGTCGCGCATACAATTTGTCCCAGTTTGCCCCGTGAAAGTACGGGTGATTCTTCACATCCGTTACGCCATCCTTTAGTGTCCCCAAACGCTTCGTGTGGTCCGTTTGCAGCAAACCCTTCACAAGATCCCGCGCACGTGCGTCAAACCAATTCGGGAACTTGAAGCGTCCAGAGAGAATCTTCTCGTACGTCCGAAACGGCGTGTCATCGTAAAACGGGGGATACCCAGCGATAAATTCGTACAGCAAAATGCCCATCGTCCACCAGTCCACGGCCTTTCCGTGACCCTTGCTCTGGATCACCTCCGGCGCAAGGTACTCCGGTGT